TTGATGCCCTAGAGGTGTTTTGGGGTATGTAAGTGACCCTGGGTTGTGTGATGTCCCCATTCAGAATTCACCCACTCCCACCTTCCTGACCCCCCAGCCCATCCCCACACCCCCTTGTCCCCTCTTGTGTCCATTTACCTCCACTCTCCCCCCATTTACCCTCCCCATTATGGAGATATATAAGTATGTATATTGATTATATAAGTGACCCTGGGTAGTGTCATGTGTGCTTTATGTACCACCCCCATCCCTACCTCACCCACTCCCACCTTCCTGACCCCTCTGCCCATCCCCACATCCCTTTAACCCTTCTTGGGATCCACTTGACTCCATTCTCCCCATTTTCCCTCCCCACTCTAATCAATAAATCTTGATCACTTCAGGTAATATTGATATTAATAATGAAGTTTGTTTTGTCACTGGAGTTGCTATTGATGATGTTGTTATTATATATGTTAATGTTTTACAACTGGAATAATATGACTTTCTGGGGTATTCCAGGTTTGTCACTGATATTAGGTTGTGCGATAGATGTGTGCTTTATACACCATGCCTATCCCAAAGTTGCCCCCTCCCACCTTTATGACCCCTCTGCCCATTCCCACATCCCCTCTTGTGATCCATCTGCCCCCCTCCCCCATTTTACCCTCCCCAGTCTAATTAATGTCTCATTATTCTAAGTAATATTAGTAATAAAGTGTCATGTCACTAGAGTTGCTATTAATTGATTGCTTTTTTATATGTTAATGAAGTGTTGGTGGGATAAATTGATTCCCTGGAGGTGTTTTGGGTATATAAGTGACCCTGGGTTGTTTGATTGATGTGTTCTTTATACACCACCCTGATCCCAAACTCACAATCTCCCATCCCTCCCCATCCCCTCCTCCCACCCTCCCCAGTGCCCACCCTCCCTATTATTAATAAATTTCAATTATTTCAAATCATACTCAGATTAGAAGATAAATGTTGTTATTTTGTCACCAGAGTCACTGTTAATTGGTTGATTTATTTTATATGTTGGCCTTTGCAGCTGGAATATATACTTGGTTTCCCGAAGTGTTCTTGATATGTCATTGATATTGAGTGGTGTTATTGACATGTTCTTCATACACCATCTCCCTCCCAAATGCACCCACTCCCACCCTCTCACTCTCCCCCTGCCCACTGTGACCTTTCTCCCCCTCCCCACCTCCCCACCTCCCCACCTCGTGCCCTGAAGGAAGACGCTGAAATGATCAGGACACAGTTTGCACTTAACCACTAAATTTTTATTGAATTTTTATTAGAACATCAATGCAATATTAGTCAATACAGAGAAATATAGAGTAAAGAGAATACAATAATAGTTTGAAGGAAGGGTAGGGGTTGGGAGGTGGGGCAGGGTAAGGAGGAGGGGCAGGGTTAGGGTGAAGGGGTGGGGGTAAGGAGGAGGGCTACTGACAGGGGCAAAAGCAAGGGGTAATTCATCACTTCCTTTCAAATTTCAAGAATATTAACCTCATCATCATCATCAATTTCATTTTAGCAACAAACTCTCAAGGGGCACCTATCTTTCCACAAATTGATCCCTGAAGTTAATACCCAGGGCCTTTATGAAATTAATCCAATCACATGTGAACTTTTACTAACATTTAATCCATGTCCAATTCATTCTGAATAGATTGATCTCCCTGCAGTTCCCTCTGAATTTATTTGAAATCATTAGGGGTAAGAGGTATGGGGGTAAAGGGTCATAAGTAAGTACACGTGTCCACTTAGCAATACCTAATACATAATCTTATCCTAACTTATCCTAAATAGTCCCACCCACTTAAGATTACTTAATAGTCCCTCCCATCCTAAAATACTATGATTATATATCCCCTACTACTTAAACTGATTACATAAAGAAATAAAAACAATGCAAAATTCCACAGACCAATTTAACAGCGTTCTACAATCTGAAACAACAAAGAACTTTCAGTCCCATCAGACACGTGATCTCTTAGATGAAAATGTCACATGGTTCTTCTTTTCCTCTGGTGGTCCTTCACTGCTGCTCAGGTCTTTCCAGCAGGATGTTCTCTGCTGCCATCTTGGAACGGGATCTGATGTGAGATGTCTGTGGTGGGTGATGACTGGATCAATTCAGGAGTCCAAGAGGTACCTACAAACTTAAACAAAATTCCAGACTGCACCATTTAGATGTGTCCATCTTATTTTGTGCACCTGCAAGTTCACCGTATGTCTTCCCATGATTGAATCAAATACGTCACCGCTCAAACTGAATTGACCCTTTATAAATGTATGTAAACCTTCTCTATTTCAATATCCTAACATGATGACCATACTTACTTATCTTCAGGCTTGACTAGCAATGGGAGCTCTTAGGTCTTCTTCCTTGATTTAATTAATGAAGAATGCAAATTCTGATGTTTTATTTATCTATCTCCTTCCTGTTTTTATTTTGCTCCCTTTCTAACTTCTTGTCTCTTCCTTATGAATAAAGGCATTTTTGTTGGAAATGCCAAAAAAAAGTTTTAAAGTATCCAATTATCATAAATTTGATCAACAGAAACAAAATAAATCAATTGAGAAAGGAAACTTATCAAACTGAAAAAGGAAACTTATCAAATTGAAAAAGGAAACTTACCAAATTAAGAAAGGAAACTTACCAAAATGAGAAAGGAAACTTACCAAAATGAGAAAGGAAACTTAACTAAATTTCAATACTATAGAGCAATAAATGTAAGATTACTTATCCTTAACACCTAAAAGATAGTATAGATAGGAGTAGAGCATAGTACACACTGCCAAAGAGTCAATCACAAGCTTTAGTAAACAGTCCGACGTGTCAGGGATTTTGTGAGTTGTGAACCCACGCCAGCATGCTCTCCCTGATCGTTTTGCTGTTGGCCAGGCTTCTGCTTGCAATGGTGGCAAATGTCCGTGTGCACATGCCAGGGCTGCAGAAAATGACCCATTTCTAGGCACTCTGCAGCTTGAAGATCAATTGAAAACTGTAAATTTGACACACAACAATTTGAATTCAAATGTATGGAAGATGGATTGAGATTTGAGGTAAACGGAAGTAACGCTTCACAATAGTCCAGAAGCACAAATGCACCATTTTAAAAATACTCTAAAACACACAAGTGATTGACAAGCTTTCTGATTCCATTGAAGAAAATAAGAAAAGTTGTTTTAGACTAAATAGCCAATTAGGTTTTTCTTTTGTGCAATTTAAAAAGTCCAATAAATTGAAGATTTATTATAAATACTCCAGTTCTAAGGAGCCTCTCATTCACAGTATTGTAAGAAGTTCACAGTAAAGAGATATGTTTTTTAAAATTTGTATTTAATTTAACAATAAGAATTGAATAGTACTTTGTCATTCAATGGAAACTTTTGAAAGCATAGCCAACACTTTAAAACACTGTTAAAGAACACTATTATAGATAGAAGTTTTAAGTATTTAAACATGCAAGGATAAGGGGTGGGGGATAATAATGAATATATGAAAGATGAGGCTGATGAAAAGGAAACTTCACCATTAAGACTCCTCTTCAGGCAATTTGGAATATAAATCCTGTAGCAGGGTTAATGGCAGTAGTAGAGAATTAAACAGAAAGAGAGAGGTTAGACAAGTGGTTCAAGGTAGTAGCAAGGGACTAGGTTAAAGAAGTCAGGCAGTCCCAGGTTAGCACAAAGAGTCCAGGAGACACCAGAGGTGTCACTGGATTGAAGACAACTCTTGTGTTGTCAGTTGCTTTGTGAGGCCTTTCATCCATTGGCAGCTTGATTCTTCCGAGGTGATTACCCTCAGGTCATCTTCTCATTAAAGAAGTCCATATCCTCAAGACAGTGCCCAGTGCTCTAATTCCTCTTCCCTCCCATGCACAGGAGTGTGGGTCTGGGTGCAAAATCATTTCCCCTCTCCAATCATCCTAATGCTACAGTCTAATGAGGGGACTGATGATGGAATGCCCAGATGCAAATGGAGACAGATGCTTCCCAAACTTCAACTGGTGTTTTTCCAGCCAATTAACAACATTCCTGAGAATTCTTTCTGAAGTCCCAGCACAAGTCGGTAACAATTAACTCAGAGCCTCTTTTAAGAGTTGGGTACGGGATTTAGGAGTCCTTTGATTTGCTAATCTTTAGCCCTCACACATGATTGAGAGGTGGTCACAACATTTCACAGACACCTAACACACCTGGAGCCATTACTGGCATGATGATGGTAAGATGTTGTGTCAAAGCCAGAGTTCTTGGGTACACATGATTTGCACCAGGATATGAAGGCACACTCTTAACATGCAAGAGTCTGTCTGAGAGCACTTCCTTTTCAGGCCTGAGGTGTTACATGTCGCAGGGGTGTTTGCCTGCTTCTGGGAGAACCAGTCGACTTGCTGCTCCTTGAGAATTAACGGAACCATGAAAGTGGAGTTTGAAGATGGTGAAGTTTCTAAGGGTGCAGCAAGAGGATCACGGAAGCCTTTCTTCACTGCACCAAAAACTGTGGCTTCCTTTATAAGGCCTCGGTCCTCCTGTGAGTCCCGAAGCTGCAAGAAGGGTCATGTCCTCCTCCTCCTTGTCTCCCCCTCCCTTAAGAAATCAGCATTTCCTGTGTTTGCATCAGCTTCTCTGTAAAGAAATTTGGCAGCCATTAATTTAGATGGTGACAGAGGTTTCAGACCTCTTTGGAAAGTAAACTTTTTAATTGGCAGTCAAGGTAAAAAACTGAGATAATTTCTTGGTAAATATGATTTTGAAGGTCTTCTGGTGCTTTAAGATGTGTGCCAGTTCAGGGTGGCCCTGACCTTCTGTAGCCTTTCAGAAAGGATGTGGCTTGAAGATACAGTAGCTCAATTTAGCACACAGTCACTGATTGAGAAGCTTACACAGGAATAATCTTTGAGGGAAGAGATCTTGAAGGGACATGACAGGAATTCACATGGTACTGTAAGATGGAGGCGGCGGTGGCGGCGGCGGCGGAGGCGGCGGCTGCGGCGGCGGGTACTGGGGCACCGGAGGCTGGCGGTACCAGTGTGGATTCCAAGTGATCATAACAGGTACGTAGAGAGATCTTCCTTGACCATCGCGTCCCACTGGGTACCACGCAAATCCTACTGGGTAGGTCGGGTACGTGGTGTAGGTGGGGTACGACTGGTATCCAGGTACTTGAGGAATATATTCGGTGTAGGTTGCCAGGTGCGCTTGGTCTTCCAAATTAGGAATCGATAGGCGAGGATACTGATTCTGGATGGTGAAATGGTTTGGAGCTCGGCAATCGTAAGAAACTTGCAGTTTCCACCCCCTCTTGACCTGGAGAACTTGGGCTCCGTTGGGTGCAATGGTCGGGGTAATCAGGCCATCCTTCACATTTCTCGCCACGAAATCTCGGAGAGCTGCCATTTCAGGTTCAGACAGGGAGTACACGTGCCCACTGGGAATGCTGTGCGCTCCAGGTATCATCTCTATGTTGGGGTCAACCAGACGGTGATCTGGGTAGACGTGCTCATCAACTGGAGTGTACACATTCTGGACGTAGTAATACCTCACTGGTTGGTAAACTCTGTATCCGTCGACTGGGTAGTAGAGTGACGGGTGTGGTGCTGGTGGTGGGAGCGAGGGAGGTATTGGAGTGTACATCCGGCAGTGGTATCGGCAGTATTCGGAGTCGAAGACGATGGATCGAGTGCTCCAAGTGATGTTGGGGTCATGTGTGCTCAGCCAGCGAACCCCCAGGACGACAGGAAAGAACGGAGACTGGGTCACATCAAAGGACAGCACCTCGCGGTGATCTCCCAGGTCAACAATCAGGTTGTGAGTCTCGTGGACAACTGGGCCCGACGCGATGGGGCGACCATCAATTGCTTCCACGAGTATTGGCCAGTCCTTGACTCTTATAGGAATTCCATTTTGAGCGACGTATTCGTGATCAATGAAGTTTCCAGAAGCACCAGAATCGATCATGGCTCGGACGAACAGGGTGTGTCTGCCCGGAAGATGGATCTGGAGCATCACTTGCAGGTGTGGAGATGAAGCATCATCTGGTGGGGACCTTATTAATTCTGGCCCGGTCGCTGAAGGTCCCTCTACAGCGGGGCCGGGGAGTTTCCCGCCGGTGAAGACTTTGAGGCCTTGGCAGGACAGTTGTCGGCGTAGTGACCCCCGTTTCCACAGTAGAGGCAGAGGTTCAGCTTACGGCGTCTTTCCTTTTCTTCCTGGGTCAGGCGCATGCGGGCACCTCCCACGGGCTCGGTGGGATCTACCTGGTGGTGGCTTGACACGTGAGGCATCACCAGCGCCCGGGGTGGGGAGCGTGGCTTGCGAGCAGCAGCAGCTCTGGCCAGCCTTCTCTCAATGTGAATGCACTGGCCGATCAACGCCGACAGCGACTTGGGGGCCTCGAGGTGGGAGAGCTCTTCCTGAATGTGGTCGCTGAGACCCTCGTGGTACTGGTCAATCAGGGCAGGTTCATTCCAATCCAGGTCCTGGGCAATCATCTGGAAAGCGTTGGAATAGTCGATGACGGAGCCCATGCCCTGGCGCAGACGTCTGATCTTGCGTTTGGCGGCCTCTCGTCTCTGAGGGTCTTCAAAGACATGCTTCATTTCCATCATGAAGGCGGGGTAGTTGTGCATCAGGTAGTGGGATCGCTCCAGTTTGGCAGAGGCCCAACGGGCAGCACGACCGGTCATCATGCTTGTCACGAAGCAAACACGGACACGATCAATTGAGAAATCTCTGGTGCTTTTTTCCATGAAGACTTGGCACTGGGACATGAAAGGAGCCAGCATGTCAGGGTTGCCATCAAACTTCTCTGGCAGGTCTTCTGGGCACTCTTCCTCAATTGGAGCGGGTGGGGCAGCAGCCGCCGCAGCACCTTGGAGCTCAATGTCGTCTTCATCATCCTCAGGGACGGGTTCCACTTGCTCACGGAGAGTGGTATTCTCCTCTGTGAGCTTCTGCACCTGGTTCTGCAGGTTGTTGTTTTCCTCGGACTGCCTGATGACCTTCTCTCTCAGGTTGTTGATCTCTTCGGAGAGCTCATCCCTCCTGCGTTCCGTCATGTTTGGGACGCAGGGGCTCTTGTGGCCGCTGGGCTTGTTGTTGTTGTTGTTGTTGGGGGGAGGGGGAGGGGGAGGCGGTGGGCAGTCGGGACCCAGGGTGACGGTTGGTGTGGGAGGAGACCTCCCAGGTGTTGCTTCACTTCTGGGGGGGTGGAGGCCTGGATCCTGGCCCCCTCTTGCACCCCTTCTTCTCTTTGTTTTCAAAACCCGCTTATTTCTGTAAATGAAGATAAGAGTATACATTCAACATATATATCTAAAGGGGCACAATGCAAAGAAGGTTAAGTATTTAACGCACCTCCCTGATCTACTTGCTCATATTAATAATTAGCCAACAAAGAAAACACATCCTCAAAAGAAAAGCAAATGAAGTCATCAATCAGGACAACAAATAATGAAAGCACTCTTCTTTCTCTGATGCTCAAATCACCTTTTCTTCCTCAAAAATCACCTTTTCATTGTGATTCATCAATATGCAAACTTTAACATCACTATGCTCACCTTTATAGGCTATAAAGAATGCTAAGACACAGAAAATAAGTAATTTTGTATGGAGGGAATGAAGCAAGAAACTTTTAGGCAAAGATAGATACCAAATAAATTATTCAAAACAATTCCAAAATAACTTTTGCAATTAAAGAAATTAGGTGAAAACCAGCTAATATCCCAATCAATTAAACAACAACAACTATAAACAACCACACAACAAGAGAGATGCCTGCATTTATCAGCTCTGAAAAAGAATACATGCCAATTGTCATGACCTCTGTCCACCTCTACAGAGAACATAATTGATTATCAAATCAAACAACCACCACCACCACAAAAAACACAAGACTGTCTAATTACTTTTCTGACCATAATTTAACTTCCCAAAGAGAATTCTCTTTGGGTCAGAAATGGCACTTAACAGCAACATGTATATATCAGTTTCCTTCCTCATTATGTAGTCATTCAACAAATATTAATTGATGCCTCCTAACAAGAACTAGGCTAGAAAATGAGACTTTTTTTCAAAGATGACCAATAATAGTTAATTATGACTTAATTATAATAATTACTTATTTATTAAAATTCAATTTAATAATATCATGCAGATAAACCACATAGCAAATGTTTAACAACTGTCTGTTGGCACTAATAAGATTATTAATTAGAAAACAGAAAGGTAACTTTCTGTTTAAATAGGGAGGGGCTGCAGCTATAGTGACCTGGGCACCCATTTACACACTAAAGCTATTCTTTTTGTTTGTTTGTTCCCCCCCCCCACTTAAATATTGTGTTGGTCAAACAACTCCAGGACTTTATTGATCCTTCAGGTCATCAGTTTCCAATTCCTGGTTCTTAATCAAGATTTGTCACCATAGCCCCACCCCAAAGGTTTGTAATATTCAGGTGGGACAAAGCTGTACTCAGGGCTGGGGGGTCTGGGGGTTGGGG